TCTTAAGTGTGATATCGCTAAGCACAAGGCTGCTGTTGTGGCTTCGACGCCGAGGATCAAGGCCGATCTTGCGGCCAAGCTTGGCCAGTGGGCTGGCCCTCAGGCTGGTCTGGCCGAGACGGCAGCCACTAACTTAGGAGTCGACTTCACTGCAGGAGCCAGACTAAGGAGCAAGGGAAGGAAAGCTTTGAAAGGAAGAGCCTGCAAGTTGAAGCTGAGACTTCGTCGCCTGCGCGCCCTTCGTGCTGCTGGAGCTGACACTCGTAAGGTTTGGAATACGGGGCTCCAACAAGCTGGTTATTTTGGGACTGAAATTCTTGGGCTGTCTGTTCAGGAGCTCCAGGAGGCACAATCGCTGTCCTTGAAGGTTGCTGGGCCCAAGTGTGCTACGCGTTCTCGGGCCTTGTCGCTCGCTATCCTAGAGGACCCTACCTGGAGATCCGCCCTGGGGCCATGCATGTACTGGAGCATCATCGTCTTCCGAGCAGCCCAAGACCCAAGGAAATCAGAATTCACCCTGCCCGAACTCCGACAACTTGCTGCCAATATCCTGGACAAGCCACCCTCGGGATGGGGAAACATTCGTGGTCCTCTTGGGGCGGTTTATTTAAGTCTGCCTAGAGTTGGCTGGTCATGGACCAGCCCCATGGAGTTCATGAGTGGGGGGGGCGAGGTCTACCCGCGCACCACCAGTTCGCCTGCGCTCATCCGTCAGATGCTGGAGGCAGCTTGGCACGACAGGCAGGCGGAGCAGGCGGCCATCAAGATAGGAGTGCCAGCAATTGATATGTCGCACGCCAAAGCAGCAGTTGCAGATAAAAGATTATCTAAGCAAGATCGAAGTGTTCTCGTCTCGTACCTGACCCAGTCGATATGGACCAAGTGTAGACTCAAGGAAGCGGGTTACGACATTGACACCACGTGCATATGCGGGGCCCCCCAGGACCACATATTCCACCGCCTTCTGGAGTGCCCCAACTGTGCTCAGCTTAGGGAGGAGTTTCTTGAGGAAGGAGATGTGGAAGCCCTGAAGGACCCAGCAGCCTTTGCCACGTGTGCGGGTTTTCCCGAGCCGCCCCCTTTCAAGGTCCCGCGGCCCGTAGGATTAGGTTTGAATGAGGCTGAGTTTTGGTCCCGTGACGGCCGTCAACCCGCGGAAGTTTTCGTTGGCGAGGTTTACGTCGACGGCAGCGTGGCCAAATCGGGCCACGCTTGGTTTCACGCCCCAGGCTGGGCTACGGTAAAATGTGACCCCCATGGGGAAATAGAAGCCTACCTGTGTGGGCCCGTAGGCAGCGCGCTGCCGCCCACCTCCCCAGCGGCCGAATTCCTAGCGTACTTAGCCAGCAGCCAGTTTAGAGGAGTAACTAAGATCCACTCCGACTTTAAGGGAGTCGTGGCCTGCCACAATTCTGGACTCCCTGCCAGTAGGAAGAATATATATGACGGGCTTGGTGCTATGGCCAAGCTTGGAGAAGCCAGCCGCGACGGGGGTTTCGAAGTTGCCAAGGTCAAAGCCCATCAAGATGTAGATTCCCTCGAGCGCTACTCTGAAGAGTGGCGCCACGCCTCGGGAAACGATGCAGCCGACAGAATTGCCAAATTAGCTGCCTCTCGCCTCCCCCAGCCCTCGGCCAACGAGCGTGACGCCCAGCAGCTGCTCGACCAGAGACTTAGAAGGTTCCTTCGGTTTGTGCCGAAGGCCCTCGCGTCGCGTTGTGGCCTCCTATTGCGCCGAGGGTTGGGGGGAAAGGCCCTGGAGGGGCCTGTGAAGGCTGCCAATCCCGTTGTCGGAGCTGGCTCAATCGCGGAAGTGTGGCAATGCGGAGCTAACCCAGGGGGCTCCTCGGGCTCTGGAGCTGCGGCGGCTCCTCCCCCTCCCCGTCCCCTCTGGGCCGCCCGTGCTCGCGTTGGGCACGTCTGGACGTGGCAGAAGAATCGTTGGCTCTGCTGCGTTTGCCACTCGCGTTGCCGCTCCGACAAAGTAAAGGTTTCACGAGAAAAGGAAAGGTGCCCAGGCAATGCTGCTAGACTAGCTAAGCTAGGCATGCAGCCCAATGGACACAAGTTATTTGTTTACGATAGCTGTGTTGACGAGAGTCTTATTGTTGCATGTCACCTGTGCGGCAGTTATTCAGAGTGTACTGTGAAGAGCCTCCAGAAGAGTTGTCTCAGGAAATTCAAGTCACACTTTTCAGAAGGCGCCCATGCGCGCCTCCAGGAGGGGAGACATCCACGGGCCTCTAAGACGAGTCCCATTGTCTTCAAGCCTCCGATTTCAATCGATGCGGTTGCCGCCCAGGCAGCCCAGGCGCTCGAGTCGCAGTAAGCGAAGTCGAACCCCTCCGAAGCCGTGCGATGGTCCTCCTCCTCCTCCTCCTCCTGCTGCTGCTGCTCCTTCTCCTCCTCCTCCTCCTCCTCCTCCTCCTCCTCCGTGCGTCGGCCGCCGCATCGGGGCCCCTTGGAGGGTCGCCTGCGGCAGCTGCAGCAGAAGACAGGCGGCTGGTATATTCGAAGACGGCACGCCTGCATCGGTCGAGGTCCTTATAAACGTCCCCATGTTGCGGGGGGAGGCAGACGGCCTCGAAGTCGCGTTCGCCCCCTACGCGGGGCGCGGGGAAGGTCTGGGCAAGGACCTCGCTAGCATCTGAGCAGCGATAGCGGCCCTGTAGTCGCGGCCAGAGGGTTGGACGAGCCAGTCCTTGCCTCTGCGGGAGTGTCTGTGCAGGCACTTCCTGAGATAGCCAGCCTGCTCGGCAGGGGTGCAACGTGAAGGGTCGCCAGGAGCCTTGCTCCCCTTCGCCCGCCCGGCGCACGCCTGCCATGCGAGGTCGCCGGGGCGGGTGGCGCTCCCTCGCTTGCCACGATGGGCGCTGAACCATGTGGAAAAGGCCCCCTCCGGGCTCACGAAAGGTGAGCGGGGGGGGGCGGCGCAGTGGACCGCTCGGCAGTGCCGATGTCTGCCTGTTCGGGGGGGGGGGGGGGGCGCCACCCTGTGCGTCTGCGCGTGGCCCTCCTGGGGCGACAGCGGGGGGGGTAATGCCGAGGGCGTGGAGCCACAGGCGCAGTGTGCACTCGTCCTCCGGATGGGGCAAATGTGGGGGGTGCGGACCCTCCTTGCCTGACCAGAACCGCTCAAGGACCTTGGTCGCCCTCTCGGCTGGCTGAAGGGCCAGCCAGTCCCAAAGGGTGCAGTTCTGAGCCTCCTCTGCTGTGCGGAAGGCCCCTTCCCCGTCGGAGCAGATGACGAGTTCGCGGATTCCCCGGAGGACGCCCTCGAAGCTGGCCATCATAGCCAGGATCGTGCTGGAGTCAACTTCGGCTTGGGCGAGGACGGAATCGCGGACCGAGTGATACATAGTGCCCCAGGGTGCGCAGATGCCGACGATCGCCTCAAAGAGGTCGCCAATGGTGGAGGGGTTGCGGGTGGCAGGAGACGCAATGTAAATTTCGCGGTACACCCAGAAGGCACACAGGACCGCGAGCGCCTCTTGGGGGTGTGGGGGGTCAGCGAAGAATGCGCCAGAGGGCTTCCCGGGGGTGTCAACGACAGCACCCCCAATGCCCGCAGGAAGGGAGCCTTGTGCCGATTGCACCTTTGGGTGGCCTCGGTGCACCAGAGCGGGCAGCAACAGGAGGTAAGGGCGACGAACAAGAAGTCTCCCTGCTTCGCCCGCCCGACATGCTAGGAGACGGGAGCGGAGTGCCCCTTCACGTTCCGCCCAAGGATCAGGCAGGGGGCCCCCGTCATTCGCATTCGCATTCGCATTCGAGTTTTCATCAGGACATGGTGCTTGCCTCCTTGGGCCGGAGCGTGGAGGTCGTACCCTCTCTGTGCGCACACGTGCTGGGGAAAGTAGACGCCAGACAGCACTAGCAAATTTCCCTGCTGGAGCTGGTAGAAACGCAGGGGAATACTGATTTGATGAGGGTAGCTGCACTGAAGCAGAGGTTGTTTGGGTCCTATCCGAGGACTGGCCATCGCTCGGACGTCCATACCATGTGTTGTTTTCCGGTTTCGTGCGTGGTTCTTTGGCCAAGTGATCAAGGATGCTCCTCAATGGTCCTCGCCGAAGGATAACTGCACACGTCCGAGCGATGCCAAGAGGACGGGGCAGCGGGAAAAACAGAATGGGAGGCTGCCTTCGGTCGCGCTTCCCGGGTTCCAGGGGCATGCTGTGGAGGTTGCACACATGCGGATGAACGGTCGTGACGTACCCGAAAAAATCGCGATGAAGGCGCGATGGGACGCCAACGCCGAGAGGTGCTGGGAGTTGGGCCCACAGGTGCGGGCAGGGTCGACAGCGGGAGATGGCCAGGCACGGAGATCGCGCTGGAAAAAGCAGTGCCGGGCACGGAGCCCCCGCACGGAGCCGCCACGCGGGCCTCTGGGGGGAGCGGCTCGCTGCTCGACGTCAGGCATGGGGGCGAACGCCTCCTCCCGAGAGACGGACCCCGGTGAGCAGGCCCAGGCGAACGCGCGTCGAAGGGACCCCCCCCCCAAGAGAAAAGCCGGGAGTGGCACGGCGCTCGCACGGCCGCAGCCCCGCCGCGGGACAGCCCTCCCGAAGCGAGAGAGGGCCCCGACGACCCCCGGGGCCACCCCGGGGATGGCCGTGCCGGCCTGGAGCTCGAAGCGCACGACTGCACCGGCCTGCGCTGGGTGCTCTCCGGGTTGACGGCCCAAGGCCCGGCCTCCAGGTGCTGGCTCGTGGCCTGCCCGCCCCCCACGCAGCAACCACGGGCACGCCCGGCGCGCAGCGCGGGGCGGGCTCGGTCCGAGAAAGCTGCAGATCCCCACTCTCCACTATCATAACTGCTGTGCTCACATTCCCACCATCACCACCGCCGCCTCGCCTCCCACGTTTCCCCCAGACATCGTACATCTCGTCCTCGCCGTCTGCAACATCCAGCTCCTCATTTCCCTCCTCCTGCTCCCCCCCCCTCCCCCCCCCGAACCCGCTCCTTGCCCTGCGCGGGGCAACATGAGAGGGGGCATCTCACGGGGGGGGACACTGACCCGGAATCGGCGATACATCGCCAATATATCGGCGACAAGTCCTCCATGGCAAAGCCGCACGCTCCCGGGCAGAATGGGCGGCGGACCCCCCTCGGCGATGAACGGGCGATCCGGGGTCGATGCACCCCCACCTGAGCCTATCCCCCCCCCGACGTGGCCCCTTCGCTTTCGGGTCATAACTCGGCTCTCCGGCGGCCGTTCGGGACGATACGGGCACCCCAGGAATGCAATCGGCGCGGCGCAGCTGCTGGAGATCGCCCCGAGGTTGCAGAGCCGAGAACCGACGGAAACGCCCGAGAAGCGCCGAGAACTGGTGGAAGCGCCCGAAGCCCCCTCCCACCGCGCCCCCTCCCCTCCCCGCCCTCGACGTCTCGAAGACGGTGCCGCCGACGTTGAGGTCCACGGTGGTCTCGGCCGCGAGCTGCGGGTTCACCACGCGGCCTTTGTCGGCCTCGAAGAGGCCGTACTCCTGGCGGAACTTCTCGTACTCGTGCGCCCCCGCGCGGCGGCGCACGGCGCCCTCCTGGGCCGGCGGGGCGAGGGGCGAGGGGCAGAAGCCACGCGCCCTGGGGCGCGCCGGCGGGAAAGAAGGCACTCGAGCGCGCACGAGCTTGAGCGTCGTCTTGTACTTGATGCACTCCTCCAGCTCCACGGGCACGGACGGCGTGCGGATGGAGTTTCTCTGCCCGTTCCGGCCGCGGTCCCCCGGGCAGGAGGGCTCTGAAGCTCCGCACCCGGCGTGGCCGCCGTGCCTCCGTCGGTGTATCTACGCACGCACGTGCTGCCATACGCACGGCACGGCACTGGCCGTCGAAGCTCGCCTGACCATGGCGGGAGGACGAGGGAGTGGCGAGGAGGGGAAGGCGGACGAGGTGGAGGAGGAAGGGGGAACGGGAGGAAGGAGAGAGGAAGGAGGAGGGAGGGGAGGGAGGGAGGAGGGAACAGGAGCTGGAGACAGGAGGAGCGGGAGGGAGGGGGGAGGGGGTAGGCGGGAGCAGGAGAAAGAGGAAGGAGAGGGAGAAGGAGGTGGAGAAGGAGGAGGAGGAGGAGGAGGAGGAGGAGGAGGAGGGAGGGAGAAAGGAGGGAGGAGGAAGCAGGGAGGAGGAAGGAGGGAGGAGGGAGGAGGGAGGAGGGAGGAAGGGAGGAAGGGAGGGAGAGAGGAGGATGCGGAGGAGGCAGGATGACGAGGTGGAGCAGGAGAGAGGAGGAGCAGGAGGGAGGAAGAGGAGGAGGAGGAGGAGGAGGAGGAGGAGGACGAGGACGAGGACGAGGAAGGAGGAGGAAGGAGAGGGATCAGAGGAGAAAGACAGAGAGAGAGAGAAACAAAAAGAGAGAGAGAGAGAGAGAGAGAGAAAAATAGAGAACAACATTCAAAAACACATGCATCAACGATGCTGCAACGCAACCTCGTTGCCCAAGTCCCCTACTCATTAGTCTCTACACACGGCCCCTACCACTACAAGAAGTTCCCCCTTGAAAGACCAGCAACCATTGGGCCTGCCACTCACGCGAGAGACCAACTTTGAAAAGAAATTGTGCTACACCATTCGATCGAGGGCTCAGGAATGCGGAAAGGTATGATCAGTCAGACCGAAGAGATATCCAGCGAGATCCCCCTGTTGAAAAAGAATCTGTGCAACGGCTGCACAAGCGTACACTTCCAACCATGGAAATCGAGGCAGTCCCAAGCGAGGGCCCCATTTTGAACAGGAACCACCATCCGTGCGCGCGGCAACCACGTCTGCTCGTGCTCCCGAGTCTAATCCTAAGGATGTGCCCAGCAGCAGCCCCATGTTGACACGGACCGTCCCCGACCCCTCTGTTGAGCCGGGACCGACCGTCCTGGCATTTCTGTAGTCATACCACGAAATGTCCTTAGAACCCCAAAATGTTCCAAGAACAAAAACCATGCTCTTAGAACATAAACCCGATGTGACAAAACAAGACAGTCCCAACTAGAGATCTTCCAAGAACATTTCCTGGGAACCACAAAAGGTTCTTCGAACATTCTTTGGTAGGGCTATAGGCGAGCCAGGACGCTTCGCCACTGCTTGACTCTGCCCGCTGCAGGTGGTTTGAACGCGAACGTGCGCGGCGCCGAGGCGCGAGCCCGATGTCGAAAAGGGAGCCGCCGTCCTCCCCGGCAGCTGTTGCAAAAGCGCTTGGAACATGACCGTGCCCGCCCAGCCCTGCCGGCACACGCCGGATGGCGCGACGGGGAGGAGTTCTCCGAAGGGGCCCTGGGGCACACCAACAAGTACACACAAACAAAAGGAGCCCCCATATTTTCCCATATTTTCCAGGTCTTCGTCTGCCCCCCCACTTCCCAGATTTCCACATATTCTCTTGGGGATCGACGATTCATTGTGTCTGTGTGCCGTTTCCCCTCCTGACTCTCTATGTAGGTTTTTGCGCCCGGCGGGGAAGCGACGAGGGGCGGGCCTTCTCAGAAGGCTCGGCAGCCCCCTGGCCTTCTGACAAGTTTTCTGAGCCTCCCCCGAAGACACAAAATACTTTTCAGAAGGCGCGAGGGCTTCTGAAAAGTCCCGCCGCCTTCTGGGAAGGCCTTCTCCTTCTCGCTTGCCCCTCTCGCTCGCCGCCGCGTATGGGGAAAGGAATGGACGAGGAGCAGAAAGAAGAAACAGACGGAGGGGGGGCAGGAGCAGAAGGGGCAGCAGGACGAGGACGAAAAAGAAGTGAGGACGACGAGGAGGAGGAGGAGAGGACCGGTGCAAAGATGTTGCAATACATCTTTGCCAATACATCCTACACCAACTTCACTCTTCATAGGCTCCTAGGAGAAGCTATTTTCACTGCGGGGTGAGCCCCGCTGGAAGACAACCGCCTGAGAATCTATAACCGTGCGGAAGCACCTTTCCTACGATTTCTCCAATGCCGCGAATCAACGTTGCTAGTGCGACCTGGCAATCCAGGATCGTGCCAATGCACTATTTCTGGGACGTCAGCACCACGAATCAACGTGACCGACGCGGCCTCACGATCCTAAACCGCGCCAGAACTCAATTCCTGGAACGTCAGCCATACGAACCCTTGGCACTGCGGTGAACTGTTAAGACGAAAGAGTGCGGCGATAGTGGAGTTATATGCCAAGAAATACCCTGCTTGCCTCCAGGGTGCCCTGGGTTTCTTTGATTTCGATGGTTTTGCTGTGGAGAGCACGTTCCAACACCAAAAATCAATGGACATCCTGGGGTCTCAGGGTCGGGTTTCTTGTGGAAGGTTTCTTGTGGACTGGCCTCCAGTGTAAGGCGCGAACCACATGTTAAAAAAACCGCCCGCCCTCCATCCGCGAAACTCCCGCAGACTTTTAGAACGAACTTGCGTGGCGCGTCGGCGAGACCCACACGTTGAAAACCGCCCGCCCTCCATCCGCGAAAATCTCGCAAACTGTTTGAACGAATGCGCGCGGCGCGGAGGCGAGAACAACATGCTGAAGACCGCCCGGCCTCCACCCGTGAGTTCCATGCAAACTTCGAAATCGAACGCGCGCGGTGCGGAGACGAAAACAACCGTTTGAAGACCGCCCGCCCTGCATCCCCGAAGCTCCTCTAGGGGGCCTGTGGCCCCCTATCTTCTGGGAGGAGGAGGAGGAGGAGGAGGAGGAGGAGGAGGAGGAGCAGAAGGAGGAGCAGAAGGAGGAGCAGAAGGAGGAGCAGAAGGAGGGGGAGGAGGAGGACGAGGAGGGACGAGGAGGACGAGGAGGAGGACGCCTCCTTCCGCACCCGTGGAGCGCCCGCGAGGGCGCCCCAAAAAGCGCACGAAGGCGAGAGCCACGCGGCTCCGAGGACGGCCCGCCCTCCGTCCGCGGACCCCCGCGACTGTCTTCGGGCTTCGGGGGCCTCCGCAGGGCGCGAGGCGCTCCTCGGCGAGGCGCCCGGCCAGCCGCCCCGCCGACCCGCCTCGGGGCGCCGGCGGGGAGGAGCTATATCTGCGAGGGAGGAGGAGAGAGGAGAGGGAAGGAGGAGAGCGGAGGGAGGGAGAGGGAAACGGGAGGAGGGAGGACGGAGGAGCGAGGAGGGAGAGAAGGAGAGGGAGGAAGAGGAGGGGGAGAGGAGGAGGAGGAGGAGGAGGAGGAGGAGGAGAGGAGGAGGAGGAGGAGGAGGAGGAGGGGAGGAGGAGGAGGAGGAGCAGGAGGTGGAGGAGGGGAACGGGGGAAAGGGAGGAGAACGAGAAGAGAGGGGAGGAAGAGGAGGCCAGCGTACGACAAAGGAGGGAGGGGGAGGAGGAGGAGGAGGAGGAGGAGGAGAGGGAGGAGAGGAGGAGGAGGAGGAGGAGGAGGAGGAGGAGGAGGAGGAGGAGGAGGGGGGAGGAGGCGCTTGCTTGCTAGAAACAGCTTGCAGCAGAAGCATCCGAGGCAGAAATTGCAGGCCAGGTCAAACAGTACGAAAGACGATCGACGGCTCACTGAAGAGCAAAGGGCCGGCACAGCGTGGATCCCCTCTCTCCCCAAGAAAACAAAGGCCTGGCGATGCGGCAAACCCCCGTGCAGATGCGCGCGGCGAAGGGCACGGCCTCCTATTCACATGTTGCGCGCCGCAGGGCAGCGTGGGCAGGGGGGGCTCTACGGGGCAAGCGCGCAGGGGGGCATGCCGAAGAACTCCGCGTGGGGGGGGGGGCGCAGGACGTGCAAAGGAGCAGCCGAGGAGCGGGCGGGGGGCGCACGGGGGCTCTCTGCCGCCGAGCTCCGTTGTGAGATCTTCTCACGGCGAGTGCGGACTGCGCCGAGCTGGGCGGGGAGGCCGCGTGCGGGCTTGCTCCGTGGGGCCGCTGAGGGGGGGGGGGGCTCCCCGTGGGAGTACGATCTGCGTGAGAGGCCAGCCGAAATGAGCAGGGGGGGGGGGGGGATCTGCCCACCGGGGCCGCAGGTGGAGCTCCCCACGGCGGCGCGGTCCGTGTGAGGGGCGCGCCGAACTGGGCCGGGGAACCCCGTGCGAGCTCGCCAATGGGGGCCGTAAGTCGAGCGCCCTGTGGCCGAAATGGGCGGGGGGCCACATGCGAACTTGCCTGCTGGGGCCGTAGGTGGAGCTCCCTGTGGAGGCACGATCGGTGTGAAGGGTGTACCAACATGGACACGCGGAGAGCAGAGGCAAGAAGAGTCGAAACGGAGATAAGGATGCGGAGCAGGAGGGAGGAGGGAGGAGGGAAGCGGAGGAGGAGAAGGCCACGCGGCGCTGCGGACGGGAACGAGGACCCAACTCCAGACAGGAGGGCTGGGAAGCAGGCGTGACGCTGCTCCGCGCCCGAGCGCGGAGGAGAGGCAGGATCCGGCTGCACGAAGAGGGGGCTACAGCACAGGCGGGCTCCGCGAAGGAGCCGCTTGCAGCGGGCTCTCCCCGGCGGCGCCCCCGCGCCGAGAGCGCCGTGCGAGGGCAGTGCTCGGGCGGCGGGGCCGAGGCGGGCCGCGTGCGGCGGGGCTCGCAGCACCCTGGAGTCCCGAAACGGTGCGGTGGCAGACCGCGCGGTGACCTCGAAAGCGCCCAAGACCTCACCGCACGGTCCGTCAGCGCACGGCTTTGGGGCCTCGGACGCCCCAGTCGCCCGAGACGTCCTCGGAGAACTGCCCGAGCCCCAAGGCCGTGCGGTGACCCCGAAGCCCCACCGACTCACCGCACGGCGTGGCCACCACCCCGTTGGGGGGCCCCCGAAACACCCCTTTCCACATGCCCCCTTTGAGTTCGACCCGGGAGGTGATCTGCCCCGTGTCTGAAGGGGCCCTGGGACACACAAAGAAATGCACACACAAACAACAGGACCCCCCCCATACTTCCCCATATTTTCTGGGCTCTTGTCTTCCCCCCCACTTCCCATATTTTCTGGGGGATCGTCGATGGATTGTGTCTGTGTGCTTCTCTCCCTCCCGAGTGTCCTGGTCCAGGCGCCCCCTCTCCTCCTCGATCCGCCGGCGGTGCTCCTCGACCTCGGCCTGGACGTTCCTGAGGTGGCTGGCGGTCTCCTCCCGGGGAGCGCGCTGGCCTCTGCCGCCCATGGCAGAGGGCCTGGTTTTTCGCGCCCCTCCGACTCCTCCTCGCCCCATTTCCCTCCCCTCCCCCCTCCCTTCTCCCCCTCCCTCCCGTCTCCTTCCCAGCTCCTCCTCCTCCCGTCCCCCCACTCCCCTTCGTCCTCCTTCCACGTGGCGGCTGTGCTTGGGAGCACGCAGTGACAGCCGTCCACCACCAGCACCTCCGCACCGCCGCTCCCCTCCCCCTTGTCCCCCTTTCTCCTCCCCAGCCTGCATTCACCTCTTGTCCCTCGCTGGTTGTGTGCCACCAGATCAGAGGATAAAGAGGCAAGCAGCAGTAGAGTTCGGCGGCACTCTCAAAACCAACTTGCGCATGTCCCGAAGCCGAGCGAGTGGAGATTCAGCCAGAAGCGCGACACCAGAATCCTTTGCCTATGACTTCACGTCACGGCGTCACGGGTGCGCACGTGGAGGCGGAAGGCAAGGAGGGAGGAAATCTGCCGGAGCTGGAGGCGGAAGGCGCGGAGGCGAGAAGGACGACAGAAGCAGGAGATCTGCCGAGCTGCATCGGAGTGGCGCCCGCTGCCGGTGTCCTCCTCGGCACGGCGGCGGTCGTCCCGGATCTTGTCCACCTCGCGCTGCTTCTCGGCCATGAACTGCTGCCAGACGGACAGCTTCTCGTCCTCGAACGCCTGCCTGTCCCGCTTGAGGTCGGAGCGCTTCTGCTTGATCTCGCTCTGCATCCTCTGCAGCCAGCCGACGAAGCCGCGCCGCAGGTCGCTCACCATCTCCTCCGTGGGCGCCAGTGTCGACTGGGACGGGGGTCTCCTCCTTCTGTTCCCCCCGTTTGGCCCCTTCGTGTCACTCTCCATTCTTGTACCCCCCCCCCGCTGCTCTTCCGATCTCCCCTCCACTTCCTCGCTCCTTCCCTTACCCGTCCCTACCCTTCCTCCACCCGCCCCTCTCACCTGCATTCGTGTCCCTCCATTTTTGCGCCCCTTCCCCAGTCCTTCCCCTCCCATCCCCCTGATGCACGAGAAACTGAAAACAGGAAGGTGCCACTTCTGATCACCTCTGGACCCCTGGATCCTCGAAGTCGGGGTCGTCCATCTCGTGGTCGGCGCTGACGGTGCTCGTCCTCAGACGCGGGTCCACAGAGGACATCATCGGGGTGTAAGCTGGCGACGCGGACGCCGGCACCGCAGGCGACGGAAATCCTGAATACGTCGAAGCCATGGCGGCGCTTCCCTCCGTCTGAGGAAACACGCGGCCCGATTTACGCTGAATGCTGAACCGGCGAAAACACCAGTGCTGCCTCGAGCCGACACGAACAAGGCAATAACAGAAGGGATAGCAAGTGCCAAGACTGCCGCAGAAGGTCATCCCACATTTGCCGGTTGCCAGCCATGCGAAGATCTGGTCGGGGCTCACCAGGGAACCTGCAGAGGCTGTGCGCCGCGAGGCCCTGCCTTCAAAAACTGCAAGGGGAAATAAGGCGCACGAATACGGGGACTACTGTAACTACGGCCACTGCTACGACCACCACCACAACTAACTAGCACTACAACCACCACCAGAACCAGTGGCCAATCCCTACAATCCCTACAACAATACTACTACGGTTACTTCTACTACTACTACTACTACTACTACTACTACTACTACTACTACTACTACTACTACTACTACTACTACTACTACTACTACTACTACTACTACTACTACTACTACTGCTACTACTACTACTACTACTACTACTACTACTACTACTACTACTACTACTACTACTACTACTACTACTACTACTACTACTACTACTACTACTACTACTACTACTACTACTACTACTACTACTACTACTACTACTACTACTACTACTAATACTAACGAATACTACTACTACTACTACTAC